GAAAGCACTTGGGTTGGGTTTATGTTGGTTTTTTTGTTTTCTGATGCTAACTTTTTCCTGTTGAAAGCACACACATACACATATCTGATATTTGAAGTAGAACATTTAATTTCATCATTATGTTCCAAAGCATGCTTGATCAGCAGAAAAACATAAGCATCAGGAAAGCTTGCAGATATAAAGCTTGGATTGTGTGTAACTTCAGTTTTTTTGCACATATATATATCAGGCTTTAAAGATATTAAAGTGTAGTAGTCAACATTCTCAGTGTTTTTATGTAATATATATTTTTTAGTTTTAATAATTTTTGAAAAGTTCAATCTGAATATTGAGGTATAGTTTGTTACTTTGTAAAACAGTGATTTGACTGTTGATGTGGTTTAATTATTCCTTGTTTGTATTTGCTATTATAGTAAATCTGTAGCAGAGACATTGCTGTTTTCTAAACTCGCAAGTTTTTGTAATTTGTTCACCATGGGTCTTTGGAACGTATTTCTAATTATCAATTTATTGACTACATTTATTGTACTCAGTGAACTTGTGTTTAAAGTTATTTATTGTCTGGTGTGATTTCAGATTGTCCTCTAGAGAAGGATGAAATCCTTAAGGTAGCTGACAGAATTGCTTATGTAAAGAACACAATTTGGGGACCTACATTTGATGTTATATCTGAGCCTGTTCAGAGTGATCCCAAACATCTTGCTTTCTCTGGACGTTTCTTGGAGCTGCATACAGATATGAACTATCGTGAAAAGTCACCTGGTAAGCTTTCACCAGTTTCTAATTTATCTAAACTTAGAATGTTAGTTGCATAATATAGTAAAAGTGATTTCACAAATAAAGATTAGTTTGTAAGCTTGTCATTACTGAAGTTTTCTTCAACCTGGTGTTTACTCTTCAAGGTATGAAAACTAAGAGATAGATCAGCAGTTCTCAATACATGGTCCGTGGAAACGGTTGAGTAATTATGGAATGGAAGCTTTAGCATAGTTTATAGATCCCACTGTGATCCTCTTGAGTTAAGAAAAAATAATTCAAGTGGTCCACTAAAAAGTTTGAGAACCACTGAGATAGATAATATGAGGAGCATGTAAAAAGGCCGTGCCTACAAAATGTTTGAACTCACTTTGTAACACTACTGGGTCCCAGCATGGCCAGGTGGTTAGGGCGCTCGACTCACAATATAAGGATCGTGGGTTTGAATCCCCATCACACCAAACATGTTCGCCCTTTCAGCCATGGGGCATTACAATGTGATGGTCAATCCCACTATTTGTTGGTAAAAGAGTAGCCCAAGAGTTGGCAGTGGGTGGTGATGACTAGGTGCCTTCCCTCTGATTTTATACTGCTAAATTAGGTACGGCTAGCTCATATAGCCCTCATGTAGCTTTGCACGAAATTCAAAACAAACCAAACCAAACACTGCACTGAATGGTATTTTTTCATGTTAAGCTCTGAGAATTTTGTATTATACTTCTATTGAATATCTTAATGAATTTAATAGTCTCTGTTCTGGAGTAGGCTCAATCAGGTCAAATAAAAACAGAAATCAAGACTTTTAAAAATCATTTTAGTACTTTATTATTCCTTAATTATTGTTGATGTCTGTGTGGGTGATCTTGTACAAAGTTTGAACTAAATTATTATTATATAATATTTGCTCCACTGGTGTCCATATATCACAGGTTATTTACATTGTATTGTGTGGAAAATATCAGTCACAAAAAAGAAAAAAATGAGTATTGAAAGTGTAACTGCACTTTCAGTTAAACCTAGAACCATCATACAGATTTTCATTTTTCTTTTAGCTCAAAGTAGTTTTTTTTAATAGTCAACTCTTTTGCTCTTTAAATCCAAATTTTCTCTCCATGTTTGATGCTAAAGAAACTTGATACGCACAGTTAAAAGACATCATTTTTATACATTTCATATGCATCATATATTATGAACAGCATTGGAGGCTGCATGCTAATCTTATCTCTCTCTCCCCCCCCCCCCCTCCCACACATAGTAAACTACTTGTCCTAAGGGAATGAAATTGCACCAGAGGCAAATTAAGAACCATTGATTTTGTTTTAATAAGTTTGAATATGGTGTGCAGAGCAATTCAGAACCATACTATACTTCATACCTAAATTGTTTTTCTTATGTAGTAGCAGTTCTTTTATTTGTCTCTTTGGGGCCAGATGTGGCCAGACTATGAATCTAAGGGCCCATGGTTTACATTCTGTTGCTGTAAAATCATGCTCTTAACTTTGGAGCCATAGATGTATTCTAAAAGTGACTGTTTGATTGGAGTAGCTCAAAAGTTGGCAACAGGTACTGCTGACTAGCTGCCTTCTCTCTAGTCTTATTAACTCAAAATTAGAAACAACCTATATATAAGGCCCCTGTGTAGCTCTAGCAGATATTTGAAACAAATGATTTCTCTGTTTTCTCCCCTCGACGTGGATTCCTGTACGTGGTGA